ATGATGTAGGTTAAGCATCCTTCATCTGAAATTCTGAAATCCGAAATGCTCCAAAACCTGAAACTTTTCTAATGCTGACAGGATGCCACAAGGAGAAAATTCTGTAAGTAACTTCATGTGAGAGGTTGAAGTCAAAGTTTTATTTCATGTACAAAACTATTTTAAACTATTGTATAAAATGACCTTCAGTCTCTGTATATAGGGTGAGTATATGAAACATAAAGTTGTCTTTAGACTTGGGTCCTGTCCTCAAGACATCTCATTATATACAGGCAAATATTCCAAAATCCAAAAGAAGAAAATCTGAAATCTGAAACACTTCCAATCTCAAGCATTTTGGATAAGGGATATTCAACCTGTAGTGATACTGATAACATAAACTAAGCTGAAAGGCATGTTTGAGGATGGGGAAGGGTTATTTAAAGGCTTCATACAGACTGGGTGCAGTGGCTCACGCCTGTAAGCCCAGCACTTTGGGAGGTCAGGAGTTCAAGACCAGCCTGGCCAACATGGTGAAAACTGTCTCTACTAAAAATACAACAAATTCGCTGGGTGTGGTGGTGCACACTTGTAGTTCCAGCTACTTAGGAGGCTGAGGCAGGAGAATTGCTTGAACCTAAGAGGCGGAGGCTGCAGTGAGCCAAGATCACACCACTGCACTTCAGCCTGGATGACAAAGCCAGACTCCTTCTCAAAAATAATAATAATAGTAATAATAATAGGCCGGGCATGGTGGCTCACGCCTGTAATCCCAGCACTTTGGGAGGCCGAAGCAGGTGGATCACGAGGTCAAGAGATCGAGACCATCCTGGTCAACATGGTGAAACCCCGTCTCTACTAAAAATACAAAAAATTAGCTGGGCATGGTGGCACGTGCCTGTAGTCCCAGCTACTCAGGAGGCTAAGGCAGGAGAATTGCCTGAACCCAGGAGGCAGAAGTTGCGGTGAGCCGAGATCGCGCCATTGCACTCCAGCCTGGGAACGAAGAGCGAAACTCCGTCTCAAAAACAAAAAAAAAGGAATAATAATAATAAGTAAAGGCCTATACAGTTCAAATACTGTATACTACCATTCACAGTACAAGTACCCTATCATTCAAAACTATATTCACTGCTTTTAGAAAAATATTTTCTAAATATTTTTAAACATTCACAGTGAATATTTCTAAATATTCACTGCAATGAAACTAGATCAAATTAAAAATCTCAGCGAAGGTTATACCATTACCGAGAGACAATTACTGAAATGAACCCAAATCTACCACATCCACCTTTTCTCTGACCATGTTTTGTCTTGCTGAGGCTGGCAGGCAGGAATCACAGCCACCAACACACCCAGAGGAAAGGAATGTGCAATAATTGTTCTGTGGAAAATTGTGGAAAGTCATGTATTGCTTTAAGCGCACTTTTAAAATTCAGCAAAAGTGAGATAGTACAGTTTATCGATTAGACAGTAAGTCTGAAGTCAGATGATCTGGGATGAAGTTCTGGGATGTACTTTATCCCAGTGACACACATGTTAGCAATGATATCGGGCAATGTTGTCGTTACTTAAACTCTGTGCTTCAGCTCCCTCAATTGGTGCTCACTGTATTAAGCTTAATAAGGTTGTGGTAAGGAGTAAATGCATTAATCCACATAAAGCATGTATCACAGTGGCTGGCATATAGTAAATACGCAATAAATGCTCAAGAGCTATGTTTTAAAACTCAGCAAACTTCAATCAGTTAAGCTTTGTATGCCCCTACACTGAGTTTGGAATATATATATATATTTCTTTTTTTTTTTTTTTTTCTTTTTCTGTTTTTTTTGAGACCGGGTCTCGCTCTGTCACCCAGGCTGGAGGTGCAATCATGGCTCACTGCAGCCTCGACCTCCCCAGCTCAAGTGATCCTCCCATCTCAGCCTCAGAAGTAGCTGGGACAAAAAGGGCACACCACCTGGCTAATTTTTGTATTTTTGCATGCATTTTTTGTAGACATGGGGTTTCACCATGTTGCCCAGGCTGCTCTCAAATTCCTGGGCTTAAGCAATCTGCCCGCCTTGGCCTCCCAAAGTGCTAGGATTATTGGCTCAAACCACTGTGTCTGACCCGTTATGATTTGCGGGGTTATTTTTCTTTTAAAACATAACACAAAATTTAACATTTTAAACATTTTAAGGTATCTGATTCAGTGGCATTAAATACATTCACAATGTTGTTCAATCATCACCACGATCCATTTCCAAAACTTTTCAACATCCCAAACAGAAACTCAGTGCCCATAAAACACTAATTCTTCATTTCCCTTCGCTCCAGCTCTAGAAACCTTTATTCTACTTTCTATCTCTATGAATTCGCCTATTCTATGTACCTTATATAGGTGGAATCATGCAATATTTGTCCTTTTGTGTCTGGTTTCTTTCACTTAGCATAGTGTCTTCAGGGTTCATCTGTGCTGTGGCATCCGTCCGTCCGTCCGTCCGTCCGTCCGTCCATCCATCCATCCATCCATCCATCCATCTGCAGCATTTATCAGATCATCTTTCCTTTTTGAATCTGAACATCTTGTTTATCACTCATCAGTTGATGGGCATTTGGATTGTTTCTACTTTTTGCTATTGTGAATAACGCTGCTGTGAACATATGTACAAGTGTCTGCTTGGGTTCTGGTTCTCTATTCGTCTGGTATGTACCTAGAAGTTAATGGCTAGATTAAATGGTAATTCTATGTTGAGCTGTTTTCCTAGAGCTCTATTATTTTAACTCTATCTCAACCACTGTCTTGACTTCAATATCTGTGCTGTTTTTTTTCCATCTCTAAAACAGATATTACTTCCCAAAGACTAATGGTTTGAGTTTCTAAATCAAGACATCCTTATTTAAGATAGGCTTTTCTATAAAAATATGAACTAATAGTACTCTTTCAGAGCAGTGTGATCTAGTTCCATCCCTCTGGGTATAGTTATTGCTACTGGAAACCCTAAAATGAAAAGGCCTTGAGTGTCAGAAGCAAAATGGCAGAACAGTTTCAAACTCTGAGGCCTTCACAGAAATATTCAAAACAACAACAACAACATCATCTAGAACTGTAAGAAGCAACATTCTTGGAACTCTGGAAAACAAAGGTAAACCTGAACAAGAAAGTGACCGCTTAATCAAGAGAAAGACGACGTCAAAAGAGCAGCAAAGCTTTGGGGAGTTTTTACTTGCCCTTGCCTCACCCCTTTCCCCAGCTCGACAGCATCCTTGAAGACATTAGCCTGGGTTCCCAGAGTGGAACCCCAGTAGTTGCTTTTGAAGGGAGCAGAGCAGATCTTACTTGAAAATCATTGTGTTTGTTCTAATCTGTCTGGGGCTAAAAGACTGAAACAAGGCACTTGCCTCTCTGTTGCAAAACTCAGAACACGTTCAGAGGAGAAAAGCAGCAGGTGTTGCTGGAAGATACTGTCAGGTGATCAAAACCCCACAGCCAAATGGGGGCAAAAAAAAATATGGTTGAGACATAAACTAGACAATCTAAAGCCAGGGGGAAAGAGCCAGGAAGATGGCTTCCTTGGGAAATCAGGGCATTCTAAAATGTTTGTGTGTACTGTAGAATTCAGAAAGCTACACACGACAGCTCAGGACATGACACATGTTTAGAAAAGGCCTGAGAAGACCCTGAGCTTTCACGATTGGACGATCTATAAACTCAGTGCAAGCAGAAGTGAAGGCTGGGGCAGAATTATACATGACCCAGCTAAGCGTTAGAGGAGCACCTGAGCACAGAGCCAATCTGAAAGACTGGAAGAGAAACACAGGCTAAGGTTTCAGCAATCAAGCACAGCCAACCCCGAGCAAACGGGAAACCCCGACTTCAAGAGTTAGCACATTATAACACACAAATGTCCAGTTTTCAACACCAAGAAATCGCCAAGCATACCGAAACAGCAGTAATGTGACCCATTCAGAGGAAAGTAGTAAATGGACAGAAAACATCCCGGAAGAAGCCGACACTGAATTTCCTGGGCAAAGAATTTAAATCAACTGTCTTAAAAGAAACCAGAGATGAAGAACTAAAGGAAATCAGGAAGACAATGTAGGAAAAAAATGACAGTATCAATAAAGAGACAGAAATTATAAAAAAGAATGTTTAATGGGCACAGAGATTCTGTTTGGGGAGAAAATTAGAAATAGATACAAGTGATGGTTGTACGACATTATGAATGTAATTGATGCCACTCAACTGTACAGAGAAATAGTTAAAATGGCAAATGTATGTATAGAATGAAATGCCTTCAGTTCTGTGATTTTACGAGTCTTTGAGTCACTGCATAACCAAATTCGTCAAACCGCCTTACCCATTAATGCTGATACATATCTTGGTCATAATTTTAGAAGGCAGATCAGAAATAAATTTCAATACATGGTTTACGTAGTTCCTGTAAGAGAATCTCTGTGCCCTGCTCCATTTTTCTGACACATTTCATCCTGTAAGTTTCTGATCAATGCCATGAAAACAGAAAAAAGAGTGCTCACCATTTTTTTATTTTTTTTTTTTTGAGATGGAGTTTCACTCTTGTTGCCCTGGCTGGTCGGCTCACTACAGCTACCTCCCCGCAGGGTTCAGCGATTCTCCTGCTTCCGCCTCCCAGGTAGCTGGGATTACAGGCACCTGCCACCATGCCCAGATAATTTTTTTGTATTTTTAGTAGAGACAGGTTTCACCATGTTGGCCAGGCTGGTCTCAAACTCCCTGCCTCAGGTGATCCGCCAGCCTCGGTCTCCCAAAGTGCTGGGACTACAGGCGTGAACCACTGCATCCCAGCAGTGGTCACCTTTTAATATTTTCAGCCATTGGCTAACCATATGGAAGTAGCAAAAAGGAAATATCCCTTCCTTTTTCTCAACACTAGAGACTAGTTTTATGACTGAAATAAATCTGAAAATGTCAACTTCCTTCCAATCTGACCTCAGGCCAAAAGAATGTATTATGTAATTATGACATAATTACCATTTGCTCCATTCCCCTCCCATAGCCTCTGGCTGCATCCTCTGACTTCAGAGCCAGTGATGCAGGGTTGTGATTAAGAGTTTAGGCTGGAGTCCTGCTGCCATGTTAACCTAAGGTAAGTGACCTGACTCTCTCAACCCGTCTTCTCATAAACATCTCATAAACTAATGGCAAAGGATTAAACAAGGTAACATACAAAGTACAGCCAGAATTTACTAGGCACACAAAGTGGCAGCACTACTCTTGAACTTGAGTGTTGGAGAAGTGGTTTCAACATCAATACAGGGATGGGAAGACAAGAACAGCCACTTTAAGCAGCAATCTTAAAATGAACTTAAATGGAATTTTACAAATTTCTGCCAATGAGAGCTCCCTTAGGCTGTTTCAGGCCCATGTCTCCGTCTCCCTTGATGCTTAGGTTTAAAAGCAGGTAATCCATGGGCTTATACCGTTTATCACAACATTTACAATTATTCCCTCAAGTTTCACCATTTTCTTTTCTTATTTTTTTGAGACAGAGTCTCCCTATCACCCAGGCTGGAATGCAGCGGTTGCTATCTCAGCTCACTGCAACCTCCGCCTCCTGGGTTCAATCAATTCTCCTGCCTCTGCCTCCCAAGTAGCTAGAACCACAGGTGCCCACCGCCCACCTGGCAAACTTTATTGTATTTTTTTTTATTTTTTATTTTTTTGAGACAGAGTCTTGCTCTGTTACCCAGGCTGGAGTGCAATGGTACAGTCTCAGATCACTGCAACCTCCGCCTCCCAGGTTCCAGTGATTCTCCTGCCTCAGCCTCCTGAGTGGCTGGGATTATAGGTGCCTGCCACCTTGCCTGGCTAATTGTATTTTTAGTAGAGTCGGGGTTTCACCATGTTGGCCAGGCTGGTCTTGAACTCCTGACCTTGTGATCTGCCCACCTAGGTCTCCCAAAGTGCTGGGATTACAGGCATGAGCCACCGCACCTGGCTAAGTTTCACCATTTTCTAGAGCTTGCTCTAGGCTTTCAATTCATATTCAAGGCACAATTAGTACACATAAATATTTCTGGGATTTAGAATCTAAATTATGTACATGTCAATTACCAACAATGACTGGATTCTCTATTTTTCCTTTCAGAAGTTTGATTAGACACTCCACACTTCAATGCATTTTATTAAAAACTAAAAATATGTAAGAGATTTGCCCAAGCAGGCAATTTGTCATGCTAATTCTTAAACCTTTTTTTAAATTAAATTTAAGACGGGGTCTCTGTTGCCCAGGCTACAGCACAATGGCAGGATCATATCACCTCCAACTCTTGGGGTGTAGTCGTGGCCCTCCTACCTCAGCCTCTCGAGTACTTGGGACCTCTGGTACATGCCACCATACCCGCCTAATTAAAAAACAATTATTTATTGTAGAGACAGGTTCTCTATGTTGTCCAGGCTGTTCTTTAACTCATGGCCTCAAGAGACTCTCTTGCTTCGGCCTCCCAAAATGCTGGGATTACACATGTAATCCCATGCCTGGCCAAATTCTTAAAACTACTTATTCAGATCCACAAACAACTCAAGGACCAATGTTTCCAATCCAATTAAATACATTGTTTAACCACTGGAAGTACACTGCCTTTGCTAACATCAAAATGGCAAAAGTTACCATATTTTCCCCATTCATTTCAAGCACAATGAATCTATAAACTATCAAATAAAAACTATTCCTCGGTTCTCTATAATAAAAAAATTCTCAAAATTTACATGACCTCGTGATTTTCTTAGATGTATATGATTTTCTTAATGTCTGAAAATAAGCATATTTTGTTTGTCTAACAAATATAAAGGCATGTATTTAAATTCAAAACAAAAACAGTATGTATTTGTGGGAGAAGGGGGAGAGCCCAACTGCCAAAGCAAGCCAGTGAACTTTTCCTTAAAAGCCTCCCTTAATATTCTGTAATTCTCCAAAAGCTACTGACATCAGAGATTCTCTTAACGATCCACGAAATCATGTAAGAATGGAGGCATTAGAAGCCCAGGGGTTAACTCAACTTTCAACAGGTTAAAAGAAAGGCACAGAGAAACACATTTAACAGCATCTTATTATAGTTTACAGAAAATTGTTACATCAATTTCCATTACACCAGCAATTTTTAAATTTTGCAGAGAGGAATATCTATATGGTTTCTTTCTATCACCAAACCAACTACCACCAAACCCAGTTTCTTGTTTTTTTTTTTTTTCCGAGACAGAGTGTCACTTCTCCCACGCTGGAGTGCAATGGTGCTATCTTGGTTCACTGTAACCTCTGCCTCCTGGGTTCAAACAATTCTCCTGCCTCAGCCTCTCCAGTAGCTGGGAGAAGTGGCACATGCCACCATGCTGGGCTAATTTTTATATTTTTAGTAGAGATGGGGTTTTACCATGTTGGCCAGGCTGGTCTCAAACTCCTGACCTCAAGTGATCCACCCACTTCAGCCTCCCAAAGTGTTGGGATTATAGGCCACCATGCCCAGCCTTTTTTTAATGGCTTTACTGAGATATAATTCTCATAATATAAAATTCAATGGCTTTAGTATATTGTGTTATATAACCATCATATTACATTTTGGAATGTTTTATTACTCCAAAAAGAAATCCTGTATTCCTTAGCTGTCACCCCATCCCTCTACTGTGCAGCCACGAACCTACTTTTTTATTTTTTTTTTCTGCTTGTGCACATATACCACTTACTTTATAATTAAGAAATGGGAAAGAGGGAAATGAAAAATTAGAGAAAACTATACTGTAGAAGGATGTGGTGGAACCAAACTGCAGTTTTCTAATTAAGAATGTAATCTTGGTCTTTAAAGAACAGAGCTCTGAAGTAAAGAAGCAGGTTCCCATTTCAGTAGACACTTCCAGTGCGCTGTTGGAACACACCAGTTGTATCTTCATCCTCCATTTCCAACTGTGCAGGTGTGTCTGTTTCATTGACTGGTTGCCTATCAAATCAGAATCTAATCTGCCTCACTGACAATCCCTATCGTTCACAGTAGGCTTTCATGAGTTTACTAAGCGGTGTATGCCTCTTTTTTTTTTTGAGACGGAGTTTCGCTCTTGTTACCAGGCTGGAGTGCAATGGCACGATCTTGGCTCACCGCAACCTCCGCCTCCTGGGTTCAGACAATTCTCCTGCCTCAGCCTCCTGAGTAGCTGGGATTACAGGCACGCGCCACCATGCCCAGCTAATTTTTTGTATTTTTAGTAGACACGGGGTTTCACCATGTTGACCAGGATGGTCTCGATCTGTTGACCTCGGCCTCCCAAAGTGCTGGGATTACAGGCATGAGCCACCGCGCCCGGCCCCGGTGTATGACTCTTAATCTTAAACTGAACCACAGAACCATCCCGCCCCGCCACTTTCAAATTAATATGATAGTTGTTCTCAGGCTTGACTCCTCTCTGGGCCTCCAACTTCATGAAACCACATGGTCTTCGCGGATTAGGGGTTCGTTGCACTAACGGAAAAGACGCTCCGCCTCCCCTCTCGGGAACCTGAGGCCATTAAAGTAGGAAATGCTCCGCGGGAATTCCCCAACCCCCAGGCCCAGGACGGCGGCCCACGGGCATCCAGGATCCTGCCCATCAGCAGCCCATTGATTCGCCCAGAAGCCTCGCCCCGCCGCCGCGGCCCCCACCCCTAAGAGGTGAAGCCCCGATCCCAGGGGACTCCCCGTCGCCTCGGAGACTGCAATACCCGATGCGAGGTCCGCGGAGGGCGGAGACCCCGCGCGTCGTAACGCCTCTCCTCACCACAACGGCTGGCGGGGCCAAGAAGCCCGGCTCGGAGCTGGTGGGCCCACGGCGTCCGTCATCTGCCCGCCCAACTCGCACCCCACGCGCACTCGGAGGCCGCCGGGGGCTAATCTACTTTTTGTCTGAATAGATTTGCTCATTCTGGACATTTCATACATATGGCTTCTTTCACTCAGCACCTTTTCAAGATGTATCCATGGTGTAGCATTTATTAGGATTTCATGTATTTTCATTGCCAAATAATGCTTTATTGAGTGCAAACACCCTCTGCCTGCTTTTGATTTGTGTGACTACATTTTCAAGTGTTCACTTGTCTGCCTTTTACAAATTAGAGAGACAGGCATATACAACTTCTTTTAAAAAACGAGACAAGAAAAAAACTTAATCAACGGTAGTTCTGACCCTATCAGTGATGCTTAGAAACCATTATTTTAAACAAATGAAGATAAGTCATTCACACTTTGTAGGGATCATAATCCAGAGAAAAACATAAGGAGGCTATTTAGAAAGACCATTAAATATTGGAAGGTTTGACTTTCCTAGTAAAGCACTGAGAAGCCGAAGTCCCTAACCCCCACCTAAGCGTATGTTTCCATTCAGCGTCCACTAACCTGAGATTGATAAAATCAAGAATACAATACTATATTCTTAAATACAGCCTATAAAATATTCTTATATCTAAATTTTTTTTAAGTCTTCATTCGCTTAGGTTACTATGTAACTGCATAAATACATGCATCAGGAGGTGTAGATTTCTTAATTCTTCACATAAAATATCACATTACTTAAAAAATACCTATCTCAGTATTACTGAGACTTTGAGAATGCTGTTGTTTTGGATAGAATTTGAAAGGCTTCATTGATTGATTGTAATTCTCTTCTTTTCCATATTCTCTCTACAAAGATCATTGCATTTTAACAGCATGACTGAAATTATTTTAAAAAATAGACAAAAAGAAAACTATCTAACTGGCCTGTCTATACCAGGATATATCCTGGGTTCCACCAGCAATCTCAGGAAAGCTGTTCAGAGTTTAAAAAAAAAAAAAAAAGGACTGTGAATAGAATTGCCACTACATTCTCACGGGACCCTTGGCATAATCCGAGGCACCGACTTTCTCCTGGCAGACTGTAGTAGACATCCTTTAAGACAAGCCCCCGTGGTGCCGGCCTGTTAATATTCATGCCCTTGTACAATCCCCTCCCAGTAAGTACAAGTGGACCCAGTAAACTGCCTTTACTGAAAGCAATATACAGAAATGATGGAATATCACTTCCAAAATTAGGTCATTAAAAAAGTATGGCTCCCAGGTTGAGCGCTCTCTCTCTCTTTGACTGCTAGCCCTGGAGGAAGCCAGCTGTCATGGCGTAAGGCAGCCCTGTGAAATAAGTCACGTGGCAAGGGTCTGAGGCCTGCCAAGAACCATGTGACTTTGGAAGCAGATTATCCAACCTCTATCAAACCTTGAGATGACTGTAGCCCTGGCCAACTCTTGACTGCAACCTCATTAAGAGACTTAAATCAGAAGCACCAAGCTAAGCCAGACACAGATTCTGACCTACAAAAACCATGAGATGATACATGTTTGTTGTTTTCAGCTGCTAAGCTGTTACGCTGCAAGAGATAGCTAATACACAGACCATGAAAAACTCTTCAATTTGCTGTTTTATATTATATTCTGTTGTTCCCTTCTCTGCCATTGTAACAAACACCTTTCCAACACTCCTGGAAAGAGCTAGAAAATGGCAGGGAATGCAATTTTATCATTCTAACCATTCATTTAGGGTCCTCTGGATAAGTAGGTGGTATGTTACTCCCAACTACCAACCCTTAACTAAGCTTTCCACTAAAGGAAATTCTCATTAGCATTCAGACTACCCAAGAGGTAACACTTCAAAACTCACCTCCTACCGTCTTCCAAACTGCTCTCTCCATTCCATTCCACACACGGTCAGTGTGTCAGGATGTTTTTGCTTTTTCTTGAGTCAGAGTCTTGCTCTATTGCCCAGTGGGGAGTGCAGAGGCATGATTTTTGGCTCACTGCACCCTCTGCTTCCTGGGTTCAAGCAATTCTCCTGCCTCAGCCTCCTGAGTAGCTGGGAGTAGAGGCACCCACCACCATGCCCAGCTAATTTTTGTCCTTTTTTTTTTTTTTAGTAGAGACGGGGTTTCACCATGTTGATCAGGATGGTCTTGACCTTGTGATCCGCCCACCTCGGCCTCCCAAAGTGCTGGGATTATAGGCATGAACCACCACACCCAGTCGCAATAATTTTCTTGAATACTCCCTTCCCACTAGACTCCACCAGCAATCTAGGGGGTAAGCCCAAGCTCTGTTTTGTCCTCACTGTATTCCCAATGCTTGGCAAATATTTCCACAATAGAAAAAAATCAGTAACAGTTGGTGGCTCATTATCATTTACCCAACAGAACCTCAATGTTTTGTTCCGTTTTTTAATTTTTGAGAGTCTCATTCTGTCACAGGTTGGAGTGCAGTGGCATGATCACTGCTCACTAAAGCCTTGACCTCCCAGGCTCAAGTGATCCCGCTGCCTCAGTCTCCTGAGTAGCTGGGACTACAGATGTGTGTGACCACGCCCAGCTAAGTTTTTTTATTTTTCGTAAAGACAAGGTCCCACTGTGTTGCCCAGGCTGGTCTTGAACTCCTCGACTCAAGCAGTCCTCCTGCCTCGGCCTCCCAAAGTGCTGGGATTACAGGTGCGAGCCACCATGCCTGGCCTCTCGTTGCTTAGTGGGAGAAGTAGGACTCTGATGTATAGAAAACACAGTCTAGCTCATTAGGAGCCCTAGATTCGTATCCTAATTTTTATCCTCTCTCCTACAAAAATAATGTATTCTTTCAAACTTTTTTTTTTTTTGAGGCAGAGTTTTGCTCTTATTGCCCAGGCTGGAGTGCAATGGCTCGATCTCAGCTAACTGCAACCTCCGCCTCCAGTGTTCAAGTGATTCTCCTGCCTCAGTCTCCCAAGTAGCTGGGATTTCAGGCATGCACTGGCTAAGTTTTTGTATTTTTCGTATAGATGGGGTTTCTCCATGTTGGTCAGGCTGGTCTCAACTGACCTCAGGTGATCTGCCCGCCTTAGCCTCCCAAAGTGCTGGAATTACAGGCGTGAGCCACCACACCCAGGCCAATTAAACTTTTAATTTCCTCATATGTAAAAACTAAGGCTGGATGCAGTGGCTCACACCTGTTACCACAGCACCATTTAACATGTCTACTTAGATGTCTAAAAGACCCCAGACACCTGACCCAAAAGCACAGCACTGTCTCTCCACACTTGCTCTTTCTCTCGCTATATTCCTATGCATAGTACATGGCATTATCAAGCATCCTGGTATTTAAACCAGGTAACTGGGAATTAGATTATCCTGGACTCTTTTTTCCATATCTAATTAACAATCCAGTCCTGTTATTTCCACCTCCTTAGAATCTCCAAATTCACTGACTTCTCTCCAGCCCTACAGCTGTTCTCGCATTACAGATCACCAGCATCTCTTACAGAGCTTATTGTAAAAGCCCCTTCACTGTGTACTGCTTCTAATCTTGTACTGCTTCAACCAGTTCTCCACACTGAGGAATCTTTTAAACAATGCAATTCACATCAGGTCATTCCCTCATTCAAACCTGTTGTTAAGGCCCAAACTGGTAATGTTAAAAACAATTTATAATCTGGACTTTGCTAATCTTCTAAGCCCCAATCTCTCTATTACTCTACTCTCTTCTACTTCCCATTGATTAACTCTTTCCTTTTATTCTGCTCAAGCCAAAGTGCACATTGACGGGCGCTGAAACACAGGATGCTCTCTTACTGTCTTGTGAGCTCTAGTCCCCGGCACGTCTGCTCTCTAATATCCTTGCTCTCCTCTTTGCCCCCATCGCTTTTACTTGACTAGCACCTATTTGTCCTAACTCAGCTTAGATATCAACTCCTCCTGACAACCTTCTCTACCTCGCCTAGGACAGGTGACTTCCAGACTGCATGCTTCCTTATGACTCGCATCTTGTTAGTTACTTGGCTCCCTCACTTGAGCCTACAAAACTGAAAGGCAGGTGCACCAGCACACCATGCTCAATCAACGTCTATTGACTAAGTGATCCTACATGGGTCTATAAGATAGGTCATAAACTTTTATAAAGTGAAGAATTATTCCGTTATGTAAAGTTATCATCTAGTCTATATTATGCCCTTTTTGTGGTAGGCAGAGTAACAGCTCCCAAAGATGTCCGTGTCCCCATACCCAGAGCTTAGCAAAATGTTACATCACATTGCATTGCAAAGCGGAATTAAGGCTGAAGATGAAATAAAGGCTACTAATCAGTTGATTTTTTTTTTTTTTTTTTTTTGAGACAGTCTTACTCTGTCGCCAGGCTGGAGTGTAGTGGTGCAATCTCGGCTCACTGCAATCTCTGTCTCCCAGATTCAAGCAATTCTCCTGCCTCAGCCTCCCGAGTAGCTAGGACTACAGGTGCGCACCACCATGCCCAGCCCAGTTGATCTTTAAAAAGGGAGATTATCCAGCAATATCTGGGTGGGCCCAGCATAATCACAAGGGACTTTAAACATGGAAGAGAGAGGCAAAAGCATCAGCTGGTCAAAGTGGTGCAATGTGAGGACTTTGGCTCACTTCAAAGCCACTGCTGGCCCTGAAGATGGAGAAAGGGTAATGAAGCTGGGGAATGCAGAAAGCCTCTAAAATCTGGAAAAGGCAAGGAACAAATTCTCTCAGGTAGCAACCAGAAAGGGACACAGCCCTGCTAACACCTTGATGTTAGCCCAGTAAGAACCCTACTTACTTACTTCCTTCCTTCCTTCCTTCCTTCCTTCCTTTCCTTTTTTTGGTGGGGGGGGGAGTTTTGCTGTTGTTGCCCAGGCTGGAGTGCAATGGCACGATCTCGGCTCACCTCAACCTACGCCTCCCAGGTTCAAGTGATTCTTGTGCCTTAGCGTCCTGAGTAGCTGGAATTACAGGGGTACACCACCAAGCCCAGCTAATTTTTTTGTATCATTAGTAGAGATGGGGTTTCACCATGTTGGCCAGGCTGGTTTTGAACTCCGGACCTCAGGTGATCTGCATGCCTCATGCCTCCCAAAGGCATGAGCCACTGCACCCAATGTCAGATTCTTGACCTACAGAACTGTAAGATAGTAAATATGTGTTGTGTGTGTTTAAAGCCACTAAATTTGTGGTAACTTGTTTTGGTAGCAATAGAAAACTAATACGTTTTTAATATTAGGACTTTTTTCCCCCAAGACAGTTTTGGCTAGTGACCTTGAAGTCTCTTCTGATTGTGAAATTATTTGACTCTATATAAATCAGGAACTCTATTCTATTCTTACCAGCTGACCTTCAGAAAAGATATGACTTGCCTTCATTGATCAATCCCTTAATGAAGGAAGAGTAACATGAGAGGCTACTGTTTCTGCATGTCATTGTCCAAAGAAATGTTAATTTAGAAGAGGTGGAACATCTCCTAGGAGCAGAAATAAGGTAAACCAGGACTTCTGAATTCTGAAAATGTGGTATATAGTCTGTAAGGGAGTTAAACTGTCCATTTCTCTACCTGGTGAGCAGATGGGTTGCAATCATAAAACATCAGCCCCAGCCCCGATCACTCCTCTGACAGGGGCTTAGCCAGGCATTTACATCTTTAGAATTTCAATGCACTTAGGTAGGGCCTGATGTAGACTCCTGTTCACCACAGTCCCCACCAATCCCAGTGATCTCACCTCTGGCCAGCACAGATATTACCCAACTGACTCCATAAAGCTGAGTCTAGAGGCCAGCTATCAATGTTCTACTATAGTTGAAGTCAATATATACAAATGCAAAAATGCCTTTGGGGATTATATTTTATGGCATTACTAGTTATTACTTTACATATCAGTTAACATCCCAAAAAGCATATCAACATTAAACCAGTATGGAACTGGAAATACATTTTCAGGAATATACGTTAGGGGACTGGGGCAGGGATAGGTAAGCCTGAAAGGAGACAGTGTTAAAGAGCTCCTAGGAAATTTAAAAAGTACTGACAAAAGAGGTAAAAATGGACTTAAAGTCAAACCAAATTAATTTCTTAATTTTACTCCCTGTCATGCCACTCAAAAATCATCTTATGTGGCCTGGTACAGTGGCTCATGCCTCTAATGCTAGTACTTCAGGAGGCCAAAGCTGGCGGATGGCTTGAGCATAGGAATTCAGGACCAGTCTCGGCAACATGGTGAAAACCCGTCTCTAAAAAAAAGAAAATGTAGCTGAACGTAGTGGCATGCACTTGTAGTCCCAGCTACTTGGGAGTCTGAGGTGGAAGGATCACCTGAGCCTGGAAATTTGAGGCTGTTTCTGAGCCATGATCACGCCACTGCTCCAGCCTCGGTGACAGAACAAAACCGTGTCTCAAACAAACAAACAAACAAATAAAATCAATCAATCATCTTGTGACACACATAAACACAATTACCATTTAGAAGAACCTGTTTTATGCTGGGTACTTTACAAAGTGCTTTCCATACACAGTCACTCATTCCAAGACAATCCTGCAAGATATGTAGGGTCAGCTTTCCTTACAGGTGAAAAAACAGGTTCAGGGAAATGAGTTTCTTTTCTAAGATCATACAGGGAAGAACAGGCAGAACCAAGATTCAAATAACCAAGATTCAAGTGCAAAGTCGTCATTTCACTACACAAGCCTGACTCCGGACTTTCTAAGGTTCTAGCCCTCCTTGTCATCTTTCAGTTGGCCCACACCACAAAGGCCTCCAGTGAAACCAGTCAGAGCACTGAATAGCAGCAAGTCAATTCAGAAATGCCTTCCTTTCTCAGTTTCCATGTACTGCCTATTTCTGGCTTCCTGCCATTTGAACTGTTTTGTCAAATGCTTAGATACTATGGTGACTGGGACTCAGTAACTAATGTTGTTATGGCAACCATAAACACTTAATCTAAACTTGCCTCATACAAATATATAAAATTTATGGGACAGTGGTTGCCAGGAGTTGGGAAGGGAAGAATGAGGAGTGGATGCTAATGGGTACATTTCTTACTGGACGATAAAATATTCTGGAATTAGACTGTACAACTCTGTGAATATACTAAAACCACTAAATTGTACCTTTAAAAAGGTGAATTTTACGGTATATGAATTACAAAACAATTTTTTAAAACTATATAGTGATAATCAAATAGTCAGATATTAACAAGTGTTGGTGAAGATGGAGAGAAACTGTAACTCTCATACAGTGCTGGTGGGACTGTAAAATCGTGCAGTTGCTTTGGAAAATCATTTGGCATAAAGTTATCATACAATCCAGCAATTCTACTTCTAGAAATATACGACAAAGAGAAATAAAAACATATGTCTCTACAAAAACTTGTACACCAGTGTCTATAGGAGAATAGCCAAAAAGTGGAAACAACCCAAACATCCATCAGCTGAGGTATAAATGAAATATGGTATATCCATGCAACAGAATATTATTTTACCATAAGAAGGAACAAAGTACTGATATATGCTACAAAATGAGTCAGCCACAGAAACATGTTAGATGAAAGAAGCCAAACACCATGCATTGTATGATTCCACTGATACAAAATGTTCAGAGTAGACAAAGCTTTAGAAAAAGAAAGTAAAGCCGGGCGTGGTGGCTCCTGCCTATAATCCCAGCACTTTGGGAGGCTGAGGCGGGTGGATCACCTAAGGTCAGGAGTTCAAGACCAGCCAGACCAACGTAGAGAAACCCCGTCTCAGTTAAAAAAAAAAAAAAGAAAGTAGATTAATGGTTGCCCAGGCTGCGATGTCTGGGCGGAAGAAGTGAGTGCTAACAGGTAAGGGGCTGCTTTGTGTGGTGAAAACATACTGAAACTGACTATTGATGGTTACATAGCCCTGGAAGTATACTGAAAATCAGTGAATTGTACATTTAAACAGGTGAATTGTAGGTACATGGATTACATCTTAATAAAGCTGTTAAAAAAACACATTAGCTAATTTCTATTGTTTTTTCCCCCAGGTAGAAGTAATGTGAAAAATATTAATAAATAAGTAGTGGCCATTAGTTTTTAGGATAATATTTACCTAAAGCTTTGCCATTTTAAATACAGTGAAAATTTTTTTTCTTTTTTCTTTTTTGAGACAGTATCTCAGTCTCTCAGGTTGGGGTGCAGTAGTGCGATCACACAGCTCACTGTAGCTGTGACCTCCTGGGCTCAAGTGATCCTCCCACCTCAGCCTTCCAAGTAGCTGGGACTACAGGTGCATGCCCACCATGCCCAGCTAATTATTTTACTTTTTGTAGAGATGAGGTCTCCCTATGTAACACAGCTTGAAATCCTGCTTAGTTAACCCTATCAAGGGGATTCAATTCTCTTAATGAAAAAAAATAAGCTCATTATATAATGACAACTGGACTCCCCTGGGGCTAAATTCAAGGTTTAAGCCATTGACACAAATTCTGCCTCCAGCAAACCCATAAACAGTGCCATGTCTCCTAATGACGTGACCATTAGGAGTGACATGACTATTAGTGACAAGCCTCCTGGACTATCATTTTTTTCCAGTACTAGCCTTTGGACTGTAGTAACTAAAAAATTACTACAAATTCAACTAGGTAAGGGAGCATAAGAGTGAATCAATTTACTTCATTTTACGTTTTAAAAAAAAGTGTTACAATAACACCTGTAAAAAAACCACATTTCTGGTTTACAGCTGATTACCATGCTTTATATGTCATTTCACATTTGAGAAGCTTTTTATTTATTAGAAAAGTACTCGTCTGAAAAATGTGAAACTTTATTTACTTAGGATCTGAGAATTTAACTGAAAAGATCACAGTAAGCACATCCTGTCTAAACTCCTATGCATACACTCTATTTGCATTATTTTTGACATGGAGGATAGAAGCAAGATGAGAAACAATGTTTAGGGCTTTTGCAGTACTCCAGCTGAAGATGACGGTGAACTATGGCAGTGAAGACGGAGAGGGGGAGACTGACCAGAGAATCACTTCGACCTGGTGACTGGCTGTGTACTGAGAGAGGACAGGCAGAAGTGAGTTCTCAGGGTGGGGTCCCAGCGACTAAACTCTGAGGAAAGCTTTCCAGGCAATACTAAAGCTTCTTCACATTCTAGGTCCCTTCCACATCTAGAAAGGATTCTTTCCACACCCAAAATAATCCTATTCAGTTTAAAATTCCTTGGCTTACTCAAACATATCCTTTCTTTAAATTTATCAAAATTTAAAAGACAAACAACAATGTATCCCTAAAATATAAAAACTCTATAGAAGCCGAGCTCAGTGACTCAAGTCTGTAATCCCAGCACATTGGGAGGCCGAGGCGGGCGGATCACCAGGTCAAGAGATCAAGACCATCCTGGCCAACATGGTGAAACCCTGTCTCTACTAAAAATACAAAAATTAGCTGGGTGTGGTGACACGTGCCTATAATCCCAGCTACTCGGGAGGCTGAGGCAGGAGAATTGCTTGAACTCAGAGGCAGAGGTTGCAGTGGGCCGAGATTGTGCCAATGTACTCCAGCCTGGCACCTGGCAACAGAGCAAGACTCTGTCTCAAAAAAAAAAAAAACCTCTATAGATACACTAGCGGCGAATCACCAAATTTTATTCCAGTGTACAGTATACCGACTCTACTACGAAATCTAAGAAACTCACAACTTAAAAAGGAATTTCATAAATTTATACTGACGAACATCATCACATACAGATGAAAACAATGAAGTAGAGACTGCTTCAGTCTCACCAGTGACCTAGATTCGTAAGATATGAACTTGGGTTTTATAACTCCTGATTCTGTTTTCTTACCTTTTTTTTTTTTTTTTTTTTTGAGACAAGGCCTGGCTCTATCACCTAGACTGGAGTGCAGTGGCAGCATCGTGGCTCACTGCAACCTTCGCCTCCCAGGCCCAAGCCAGTCTCTGAGTTTCCTAAGTAGCTGGGACTACAGGTGCGTGCCACCAGGCCCAGCTGATTTTTGTATTTTTTTTAGAGACAGGGCTTCACCATATTGGCCAGGCTGGTCTCAAACTCCTGACCACAAGTGATCCACCCATGTTGGCCTCCCAAAGTCCTGGAATTACAGGCGTGAGCCACCATGCCTGGCTTTTCTCACTCTCTTAAACTTACTTTATGTAAGATACAGAAAATAATGTTTAAAGTAAGCTGTATAAAGACAATCCTTAGATTTTAGAAATTATGTTTCAAATGCATCAGGGGATAGTGATTCGACACATATCTTCTCACAGTATTGCAAATACTAAATAACTTTTCATTATAAGCTGGGCCTAGAGGTGTACACCTGTAGTCCCAGGTATCCAGAAGATGAGATAAAAGGATCACTTGGGCCCAGGAGTTTGAGACTAACCTGGGCAGGGTAGCATGATCCTCTCTCTATAATAAAAATGACAATAATATAATCACATCTAAGGAAAGTGGAATAAAGCCACAGAAGGGAGGAGTAAAAGGACTCACAATCTTGAATCTATGACTGACTCATAGATATGCAACTAGGTATCAGTTCTTAAAGACATCACAAGATGCCTGTAATCCCAACACTTTGGGAGGCCTAGGCAGGAGGATCGCTTAAAGCCAGGAATTCAAGCCTGGGCAACAGTGCAAGATCCTTTATCTGCAAAAAGAAAAAGAAAAGAAAAGTTAGTCAGGCATGGTGGCACATGCCTGTTGTTCCAGCTACTCCAGAGGCTGGGGTGGGAGAATCGCTTGTGCCTGGGAGGTCAAGGCTGCAGTGAGCCATGGTGAGGCCACTGCACTTCAGCCTAGGTGACAGAGCGAAATCGTCTCTCGAAAATAAAATCACAAAATCAGATTGAGAGGCCTGGTGAATCTGCTCTTGAATGATAGTTATAAAAGAAATTGATTTATACATACATAGTACTGTAAATATCCTCTGCTTATTAGATCTTTAAAGAAATTCTTTCGTATCACTTGTTAAAAATTATTGTAAGTCTACTAAGAAAGAAACAGGGACATGAAAAGCCAAATTATGACCAGAAAGTCAGATTATGAATTATATTAAAAAGTTTTTGGCCGGGCGCGGTGGCTGAAGCCTGTAATCCCAGCACTTTGGGAGGACGAGGCGGGTGGATCACGAGGTCGGCAGATCGAGACCATCCTGGTCAACATGGTGAAACCCCGTCTCTACTAAAAATTACAAAAAATTAGCTGGGCACGGTGGCGTGTGCCTGTAATCCCAGCTACTCAGGAGGCTGAGGCAGGAGAATTGCCTGAACCCAGGGGGCGGAGGTTGTGGTGAGCCGAGATCGCGCCATTGCACTCCAGCCTGGGTAACAAGAGCGAAACTCCGTCTCAAAAAAAAAAAGAAAAAAGTTTTCAAATTACCTTATTGAATAAATAAGGATTAATTTGTAGAAACTGAAGAGTTTTGTATTTTACTTCAAATTTTAAAAATATAAATAAAAAAGATATAGACAGACATATTTCTAACTAACCAAAGAAGTGGAAGAGAACAGAAGATGAAGAGACATTCCACTTAGTTCACCAGAGTCTGATGTAAAATCTGTTGGCTTGTGCTACACCAAGGAATCCCGTCTAGAGCATACCAACACTCTAGTCCTACGTGTTTCTGATCAAAAATAACCAGAGTCTGCCTCTTCCCAAGGGAGCCTTGTGATTCAGGGCAAAAATTCCATAGCTCTGAACTTTAACTGCCAAACTGCATACCAAATGAGAAATACTCTGAATTACTTTTTAGCCAAAGTGATACAGATAATTAGAACCAGATGTCTTATTCAATACTACAAGGAAATTTTTGTTTCCTTTTGTCATTGGTAGAAAATGGTCTAATTTATAAAGGAAGGAGACTGCATATATTTAAAGTACCTAATGGGAAAAAAGGATGTCAATTTCAGCACTGTTTTTTGTTCGTTTGTTTCGTTTTTGAGATAGTCTCACTCTGCAGCACAGGCTGGAGTGCAGTGACATGATCTCAGCTCACCACAAACTCCACCTCCTGGGTTCAAGTGATTTTCCTGCCTCAGCCTCCAGAGTAGCTGGGATTACAGGTGCACGCCACTGCACCCAGCTAATTTTTTGTATTTTTAGAGACAGGGTTTCACCACATTGGCCAGGCTGGTCTTAAACTCCTGACCTCAGGTGATCCGCCCACCTCGGCCTCCCAAAGTGCTAGGATTACAGGCATGAGCTACTGTGTCCGGCCTCAGCACTGTTTATGATAGTAAAAGACTGGGAAGGGCCATAAGGAAGTAATTAAATAAATTACGTTACAGCCATACAGTGGAACACTGTGGAGATACATCACATGCATGGAAGACCACACAGCTGGATCTCCTTGTGCCATTGTGGAATTAGCTCCAGAAGATATTAAGAAAAGCAACAAGATGTAGGACAGTAAACACAGTATGGGATGGGAAGGAGGTTTATTTTTAATTAATTAAAGAATAGGATAAATACTATTTTAAAAAATACCTGGTGGCATCTTCTTAGCAGCCCCTTTTTTGCTTCTTGCACTTCTTTTTCCAGATATTTTTTTGTCCTTTCCCAAGAAGGCCTGTTCATCTCTGGAGCCTTCACAAAGAGTGTTTTCCGGGTCCTCACCTGCAGCCACCTCACAGCTCAATGCACAGCTTTCATTGTTGTTGAGACTGTCCTGCTCAGACGCTTCGGCTTTGCCCATTGCACTGTCACTGCTGGTCAGATGCTCATGCCTATCCCCATCAAGCTGATTTTCATTTTCATCTGATGCAGGCAGGCATGTCACACTCCTTTCCATACTGTCACCAGGATGACATCCATCTTGTGGTTCTATTTGCAGATTGTATGTAGGAGTATCGCTGTCATCCATTAGCGCATCCTTTGCTGAACCATTTAAAGTTACATTAAATACCTTCCATGTCTACAATGACAAAAAGAAAAAAGCGACTTCATTTTGTAACCTTTGCAGATTCTCAGTGTTCTTTGATTTTCCCCTTCTCTTAGGTCGTTTCACTTTAAACAGGGAAGAGAAGGAAATGATTTAAGTTCATTCCCTTTCACCATGTGCTACCCAACCCCAAACTCAGCTAGTTCTCATTTTCTTTTTCTGTACATATTAAAATTTATTTTCTGTGTATACCCAAATTTTCAAGTATTAGATTTACTTATAAATTCAACAGTGTTATCATTATACAATTGGCTGAAATTAACAGTTGCAATACAGTTATTCTAGCTTTTCATATTCAATTTGAATGATTACAAAAGTTTATTTTCTGTATCTAATCAGAATTAAATATTTTAGATAGAGTCTTACACTTTACTAGATAATAAAATATAACTGAATATCTGCTTAGGTCGTTTCACTTTAAATAGGGAAGAGAAGGAAATGGTTGAAGTTCATTCCCTTTCACCATGTGCAACCCAACCCCAAACTCGGCTAGTTCTCATTTAAATACTACAGTTGTCAACCCTGGCTCCTCATGATCATCTCCTGAGGAGGCTGCCCAAATTCTATTCTAGACCACTAAATCAGAATCTCTGAGGATGGAACCTAGGCAGTGATATTTTTTAAGTTCTATAGGTGAGTCCAGAGTGCATCAGGTTGGGACCGATGCCTTAATGAAATGACTAAATAGGTTATGTGCTGAAATCAGTCACTTATGTTAATCCCTGGATACTCACTAGACAACTGAAAGCTAGTTGTATAAGTTCTTCTCTGGCTAAACAGCAGCAATGTTTGGGAATGAAAATGTATAAAGATTTTTTTTTTTTTTTGACAGATTCTCACTGCACAATCTCGGCTTACTGCAACCTCTGCCACCCAGGTTCAAGTGATTTTCCTGCCTCAGCCTCCCGAGTAGCTGGGCGCCTGCCACTGTGCCTGGCTGATTTTTATAGTTTTTAGTAGAGATGGGGTTTCACCATCTTGGCCAGGCTGGTATCGAACCCCTGACCCTGTGATCCACCCACCTCGGCCTCCCAAAGTGCTGGAATTACAGGCATGAGCCACCACACCCTGCGAAGATTTAAAAAAAATAAACTAGAAAAAAGTATATGAGGGAAAGTTTGGGTAGCATATATTTATACTACCGTTATATCTTTTATTTCTTAAGAATAAGCCCTGGAAGGTAGCTTAGAATTATCATAAAAATCCTTTTGAACACTTACAAAACTAAAAAAAAGAAAAAAGAAAGAGCCATGGTTAACTCTAGGTTACTCTTAGTGTAGAATCGGAAAAAAAATCTAAATCTGCTTAAAGGACACTGCTAATATTTTTAAAATTTACAAAACAGACTGCAAACCCTTTATCAGTCATCTTTTACCTCCTCTTATTATCTAAAAGTTTATTACATTTTAAGAAAAATGATAGGTATAAAATAAATATTCCAGTAATTCTGGGGAAAAAAACCACCTCAGCGAGAGGACTTCTAAAGACTCTTCAACTTAATAGGTAGAAACACTTAATCTTTAGAAACATGTATATAAAGTACAGTCTTTAAAAACATGACAAGTAAAAAATAAAATATTAACCCTATACCATCATATATTTTCAAAATATTTTGCCACTGGAATATTTTATTTAAAGATAAAAGTATTGTTTGGCAAATATTAAAGTATCTAAACCTGGCTGGTATTATTGTCCTTAAAAGCTACACTACATATCTCTACTGGTCTGTGAAACTGGTAACATCCTCAGCTATTTTCCAGTTTATGTAATTAAGAGGTATTCTACATGTATTTGCAATTGAAAGAATAAGGTTTTACTTCTACCTTGAAGAGACCTGGAGGTCACATGCCAAGGCGTGTGGTGGAACTAAAAAGCATTATTTAGAGAGCCCAAAACAGCAACAATCACCTCTTGCTGGGGCTCTTTCATGCAACAGAAACTATGCCAGGGACCAGGTACAGTGGCTCGCACCTATCATTCCAATACTTTGAGAGGCCAAGTTTGGAGGATAATTTGAGCCCCGAAGTTTGAGACCAGCCTGAGCAACACAGTCAGACCCCGTCTCTCTCTATATATAAATTTTTAAAAATTAGCCAGATGTGGTAATGCGCACCTGTAGTCCCAGCTACTCAGGAGGCTGAGGGGGCAGGATCAATTGAGCTCAGGAGGTAGAGGGTGCAGTGAGCTATGATCACACCACTGCACTCCAGCCTGGACGACAGAGCCAGACCTTGTCTCAAAAAAAACAAAACAAAGCAAAACCGAAACTGTGCCAGGAACCTCATACCTTACACCTTATCTCTAGTACTCAAAGCAAGCCTACATCACGGGTACTGACAGGGGTTTACATGAAAAATCTGAAACTCAAAGAGGCAAAATAACTTAAGATCATATTCCTGAAAAGAGGTAGAACTGGATCCAGAACTAGTTCCTCCTACATTGGACCCCATGTGGTACAATGTCATGGGTAAGAGTGCAGGCAGACCTGGGTTCAAGTTTGGCCCTGCCATTTAACAAGCTGCTTTTGCAACTTCCGTGAAGTTACTTAGCATACACAAGCCTCAATTTTCTAATCTGTAAAACTGAAGAATTGTAGTACCTACCTCAAGGAGTCATTTTTGAAGCTTAGACACTGCTGGCAACGCACCTTGTGGAGTATTTGGCCCATAGTAAATGCTCAATAACAGTTCTTACTTCCCCAGTCTCATAGGTTGATATAAAGCACTGACTGACAGGGTTATTCAATTGAGTCCTTAGGCTTACTGCAGGTTCAGTCCAATCTCATAGGTTGATATGAAGCACTGACAGGGTTATTCAATTGAGTCCTTAGGCTTACTGCAGGTTCAGTGACACCTTTTCCAGACATCCCAGAAATGATCAGGTTCTTAATGACAGACTAACCCTAACCAGCAGCATTTGACAAAGCTGAAGTATTCATTTATGATAGGACTATCTCATTCATTTCCTGGAATGTTTAAATGTCCATTCTCAGTACTCTGCTTCAGATGACTAAGAAACTTAGAAATTAGTCATTAAGCCTTTGTGGTGTGGCTGGACTTGGTGGCTCATGCCTGTTATTCCAACACGTTGGGAGACTGAGGCTGGAGGACAGCCCGAGGCCAGGAGTTCAAGACCAGCCTGGGTAAAAGAGCAAGACCCTGTCACTTTAAGAAAAAGTAAAAACCAAAAATCGAAAGATTCTCTGGTAAGTATAAAGTTGCAGCTAATATTTACAGCTTTGTTGACTGTCAAGTGCCAAGTCCTGACTTAAGCTATTTAGACTAACACTCCAATTCTTGCAATTACTCTAGCAGAGAGGTAATTTTAGTCCTATTCTACTGATAAGAAGCCAAGACTCCTATCTCGTCAAGTCCCTCAGCTAGTAAGTTTAGAAATGGAATTCAGAGCAGTTATAATCCTGATGCCATACGCTTATTAATCATTCCACTCTATGGATAATAGGGAGAGAATCACTTGAGGAATATTTCACACCAGCTGTGGTACGCCCACTTAGGGGTCTGCCCTATAGCAGAGGACACATCTCTAATGACCAGTAAGTTCAAGTTCCTGGAAGTGCTTCTCTCTTTCCCTGGGAAGTACTGGACCCACACATTCCATCATTTCCTAAATAGCTCAACTTCTGTTGGAAACTTTCTTAAGCAGGTGGGTGCACGAAAGATACACTATTTAGTCAAGTGTGATGGTGCATGCCTAGAGTCCCTGCTACTCGGCTGAAGCAAAAAGACTGCTTGACCCTGGGTTATAGCAAGCTACGATCTCACCACTGCACTCTAACCCGGGCAACAGAGCAAGACTGTGTCTAAAAATAATAATAATGCTTGCTAATCTGCATCATTCCTCTCACCTTAAAATGTAGCTAAACTACAACCCTTGATTCAGGGTTCCTTGGCTGACATCTTCAATTGTCAGCTCAATCCTATACCTATGCTAGTCAAAATGGTAGCCACTAAGCACACGTGGCTATTGACTACCTGAAATACGAACACACACTGAGAGACTGAACTTTACATTTTTAAAAATATTAATGAATTTAAATGTTTAAATGGACATCGATTTAGTTACTGAAAAACTTAAGTATGTTTGGAATAACTTGGGTATGTGAAGGTTTTCTACCTGTACATTTTATGAAACTGAAATGTAGTTCAAGCATTTCCAGTGAAAATTATGTCCAAATTAAGATGTGCTATATTTATAAAATACATACCATATTTTAATGATTTAGAATAAAATGAATATAAAATGTATTAATTCTACATATTGATTACATGTTGAAATAATATTTTAAATACATTGAATAAACCATTACTAAAATTAATTTCTCCCATTAAAAAGCTTTTTTTAATGCGGTTACTAGACAACTAAATTATACAAACGTATCACATCTTACTACTGGACAATGCTGCTATGACACGGCCTTCATACTGTCACGGTAGCCAAACGTGGCTCATGGTGAATCACTCCACGCTGGATTCTTCCTTGCTAATACAAGTTATGCTATAGGCATTTCCTGGCTATAGATATTATAACTATAGTTAAAACAAACGCAAATCCTGAAAGGAAATAGATACTACTTAAAATTCATTTTTACCTCCTTACGTCCCACATTCAGAATGTAAATCACTGGATCATGCTGTTCCTTTTTTTGTACTTCCCCATATTCAAAA